GAGGGGCTCCCTGAGGAAGGGTCCCCCACCCCCACCTGACCGAGGGCCTCACTGAGGAAGGGTCCCCCCATCTCCACCTGGCCGAGGGGCTCACCTTCGGTGTGAGGCGTAGTTTCCCGTGATGTGGCCGGAGCCGTCACAGCCAGGCGTGGGGCACCTGCAGAGGGAAGCGAGGTTGGGGCCAATCTGTGAATAGGCCCACCCACTCCAGGAGGAAGCCTCTGCCCTCCTCCCCAGCACCAGAGCCCCACAAATGGCCCGCCCTCCATCAGCGCTCTCCACAGATGAGAACCACTGATGATGCCTGGCTGCATGCCAACACCACGCCGATAACTCGCCAGCCACACGGTGCCTGAACACAGCGATCTCAGCATTTTGCCATCCAGGGAAAACCCAGTGCGGAGAGCGTGCCTCCACTACAGAGAAGGTGGGCTGGCTCGGCCATCTGTCAGGTTCCAGAGTGGACGAGAAGCATCTGGTGCACGTGGACACATGGACTGTGAACTGCAAACACGGGAGCCCAGGAGAGCAGGCCTGAACCCGAGGACCAGACCATCTTCCCCACGGGAAGGCTGTCACCCGTGATTACAAGTGAATAGATGGCCATTACTGAGCACCAACTGTGTGCAGGTGTAGCGCTGGCCACCGCCGTGCCTTTAGTGGGCAGGGAGTGCCGGCAGAGGGGTGACACACCCGTGACGGCCACTGACTCTCACGGAGAGTGGTAACGACTCCACTCTGATATCACGAGCATGGGGTTATGTCCCTCCACGTAGCCACTGAGGAAAACCTGTGTGCTCCTGCTCGCGCCAGAGTGGCATCGGCAAGCCGACTTTGCAGTGGCTCCATCTCCTGCTGGCGTCTAGGGCGCACCCTCTGGGCTGGCCATGGTGGGCCTCGCATGTGGAGCCTATCACTCCTGCGGAGGGAGGACCCTCCTCACACGGAAGTGACTGGAGAGGTAGTGGGCCTGGCCAGGGTCACCAGATGACGCCCACTGTCCGGGGTGACCCAGCACAGGGCTCCGTGGTGCTCAGCACCCAGCCCAGGCTGTGGCCATGTCCACTGGGGCCTTCTGCCGGGAGCCCATCTGTGGTGGGCAGCTCCCGCCAGTACAGAGCTGCTGGACAGCTCCTGGTGCCTGAAGGCCTCCTGGGCACCAGCTCCAACTGCACCCCTCCTGCGGCCTACCCCCGGAGCCTTGGTCCCTGCAGGAACCAGGGTCTGGACCAGGCCTGTAGCTTCTCTGTGCTCCCACCCAGCTCCCATGTGCCAGCCTGTCAGCCAGCCGACCAGTCACGCTGCTCTCTCTCCCTTGGTGTGTGGGTCCCTTGAGCCTGCCTCCACTCCCGTCACCCTGGCTCCTGTCCTACTGGTTCCCACAGTCACACGCAGTCACATTTGCCCCACTGGTTTGGGCTGTGGCGGCATCTCCGTTTCACCTCCTTGAAGTGGGGCTGCACCTTCTCCACACACACACCAGCTCCTCTAACACCCTCCCCTCCTCCCGGGTAGGTAGGGCCTCATGAGGGTCCAGGTCCCCGTGGTCCCAGGCAGGCATGAGTTTCAGTGGTCTCCCCAGGGTCTCTGTGGCACCATGCTATAGGGGCCGGGCTTAAGCGACTCAGGCCCAGCGCAGTGACTGCATTGGGGAGTAGAATGAATACTCAGCAGCTGGCTACCCTGGGGACGCCCCAGGACTCAGCAGTCTGGGCCCTGGACGGAGGCCAGTCTTGTGGGTGAGCCTGGGGGTTCCAGTGAGTCTCCCTGAGACAATTCCACTGCTCCTCCTGGGAGCCATGTCCAAGAGAGGGAGCTATGTCCGTGGTGAAGGGCTGATGTCCCCTGGGGGCACTGTCTTGGCAGAAGGACATTCCTGGGCTGGAAGCACACAGGCCTTGCCCCAGCCCTGCCCTGGCTGGCTCATGGGCCGCCCCCACTCCTACATGAGACAGGCAGTGCCCCAGGAGCTGCGGGAGGCGGCACACGACTCTGGGAGGAGGGGCCTCAGGAGCGAGTCAGGGGACGCTAGCGACATTGCTGAGGTCAAGAGTGACTCGTTTTCACGTGAGGAGGACTCCCTGTGGCCATTTTGTAGGAGGTGCCTGGTTAGCGTCTCCCAGATCTCAGCTCTCCACCCGCCCTGTGTGGCCACCACGCCCACGATCTCAGAGAGTCGGCCCCTTAAATCAGAAAATCACCAAGATGCTTTTTTCTAGTTAGAAGAGAAAGGAAAAGCAAGACCAAGAACACCAGCAGGAAAGGAGCGGGAAGTGGGGTCAGGGCAGGGCAACGGGGCAGGAAACACACGACGGCTGAGTCCGGGCCTCAGAACAGGCTGGTGCTAAAGCTGCTCACTCCTGAGAAGAGTGCCCTGCTGGCCACAGAACGCCCACACACCCCAGGCTCCCTGACTGCAGCTGGGTAGGCGCCGGGCCCGGGGATGCCTAGAGCTTTCTGTTCTGTTTCTGAACCAGCTTAGGTCCTGAGAGCCCTCAGCAGCACCAGTACCTCGTCTTGGGGACAGTGTCCCACTCCCGTCTGCCCAGTGTGGGTGAGCCAGGGGACACACGGGCCTGGACCCACAGTCTCCGTATGGAGATACGGGGTGGCTCTCAGGGACACCCTGGAGGGGGAGTGACAGAGGAGACAAGTGGGCCCTCTGGTGGCCGGACGAGAGTCAGGCTCAGGATCACATGGCTGTAGTGCCACAGGGACGGACAGCCCCCAGTTCCAGCCCCAAAGGGCACTGACACCTGGGAAACCTCTGGTCAAAGCAGGCCAGCTAGAGCCCATGGCAAAAGCAGAAGGACGCAGCTCAGCAAGAGAGAGGTGAGCAGAGAGGCCCACCTGGGTGCCAGGAGCCAAGGCAGTAGCTGGGGGCAGTGGGGACGGACAGGGGGTCGGCAAGGAAAGGACAGAGGGCGGCAGGGACGGACAGGGGGACGGCGGCCTCCTCTTTTGTCTCTGCACCTGGCTCACTCAGCAGGAGCCATAGGCTGTGGCCACTGGGCCCCGCAGGATTGACAAGCCCAGACATTTGAGGCTGTCCCTGAGTCTCTGAAGCAGCAAGGAAAGCAGTGCCTAGGCGACCCCAGCGGGCTTCCCAGGAAAGGCCTGGCTGTGGGAGGCACCAGGGCGGGTCCTGTGCCCCTTAAGAGGCTGGCAGATTTGAGGTCCACACGGCAGCACAGGAGCCTGTGGCAGCCTCTGAGGGGAGACAGTGGTGCTGGCACAGAGCAGGGGTGCAGAGCAGGGGCGCAGAACAGGGGACCAGAGCACAGGGCACAACAGGTGGCACAGAGCAGGGGCACAGAGCAGGGGTGCAGAGCAGGGGCACAGAATAGGGGCACAGAGCAGGGGTGAAAGCAAGGGGCCCACAGCATAGGGCCAGAGCAAGGGTGAAGAACAGGGGTGAAGAGGAGGGGTGAGGAGCAGGGGTACCAGAGCAGGTGTGCAGAGCAGGGGGTTCAGAGCAGGGTGCAGAGCAGGGGGCCCCGAGCAGGGGTGCAGAGCAAGGGCCCCAGCCAAGCAGATTCAACCCCTCCATGGCCCTGCCTCCTCCACCCTGATCAGGAGGACAGAGGCCCTGGAGAGGCCGATTTTGGCTGGAGCCTCATGGAGAGAGGGCAGCAAGGGTGCCACCCAGGAGACAGGAGGCCAGGGAGCGCAGACGTACTTGAGGTCAGCAGAGTGGGCAGCCATGAGGTTTCTGAGGCTCTTGTCAGCAAGAGGGCAACCAGAAAGGCTGAAAGAGAAGAGACGGGAGACAGGGGTAAGCACGGAGGGGGAGAGCAGAGGAAAGAGAGGGAGCAGACCCACCACGCAGCACCCAGGCTCGGCCGGACCCGGGCGGACGAACCTGCGGTGGGAGGCATAGTTTCCAGTGATGTGGCCACTGCCATCACAGCCAGGGGTGGGACAGCTGGACAAAGAGAGAGAGCGTCAGAACCGACAGCAGCGCACTGTGCGAGGCCACCCAGGCCGGCACCCACCTGGCTCACCCGCCCACCCTCCTCCTTGGGCTCAGCCCACACCTCTTTGTTCAGTTTTCCCCAAACTTAACTGGAGGAGGAAAAGGGATCTAACTCAACTTTAATGTGAGGTGGAGACGCCTCTGAGGCACGGTGGGGTGTGTGCATGCACATATGTAGGGCGTGTGTGTGCACGCGTGTGGGGTGTGTATGTGCATGCACATGTGTGGGGGAGTGCACACGTGGGTGTGTGCACATGTGTAGGGCGTGTGCATGCTTGTGCATACATGTGGAGCGTGTGCACTTGTGTGGGGTATGTACGTGTGTGCATGCACATGGGGCATGCGCAGACATGTGGGGCATGTTGGGCATATACACACGTGTGCATGTGTGTGCATGTGTGTATGTGCTGATGAACAAGGAGGCCAGGAATTCCTTCTCCAAGCCCTGAAGCAGGGTGGCCGTCCCTAGGGCTGTGGCTGCCTGGAAGGGATAGCTACAGTTGCAGACCAAACTACGGGGTTCTAGGCAGGTTAGAAGGAACCCTTGGAATGAGCTACAAGCCTGCAGGAGGGGCTGGTCCCCAAGGTCGATGGGAAGACAGGTACCACATCTGGGTGTGAGTCCTCAAAGGCCCACGTAAACCTGACGGACACCACCCACAGCTAGTGAGGGAAGTGAAATCATTCATAGCATAGAAGGGCAGCCCTGCGGCCAGCCGAGCAGTGTTAAAGCTGAGGCAACGGTTAACTTCGCATGCCCTTACACACACACAGCATGCCTTCACACATAGTCACACACCCTTACACACACACAACATGTCCCTGCAGTTCTCACATGCCCTTGCACACCCTCATACACACACAACCCTTGCAGTCCTTGTACACCCTCGTGCACATATAACACACCCTTATAAATCTTCACGACTCCACATCCCCTCGTAGTCCTCACACACTCTTGCACAGCCTTGCAACACACTCACACATGACATGCCTTCACACGCCCTCACTTACAACACACACAGGCCTGCACAGCCCTCACACTCTTGTGTACCCTTGCACACCTTTACACACATGTCCTTGCATGCCCTCACACACACACGACATGCCCTCACACATTCTTACACATCCTTGCACACCCTCTCACATACACACAACATGCCCTCACACAAAACACACACTCATATGCCTGCACATATCCTCACATACTCTTGCATACCCTCTTGCACCCTCGCACATGACATGCCCTCGCTTGCCTTCACACACACAAAGCATAACCTTTGTCCCCCAAGGCAAGTCAGCTGCGGGGCGGCCCGTCCTTGGGCCCTGGGAAGGGGAACTCTCTGGATGAGCAGACCCAGCTGACCTCGGCTGGACAAAGGCACGTTCCCATCCAGACGCGGTAGTTTCTCGGGGAAGCCCTGCTAGCCAAGGAGGGAGACTTACGTGAGCAGCTCCTTCTTTATGTCCTTGGAGAGAAACTTCAGCTTAAAGTTGGTTAGGGTGACTTCCCCTGGATATTTCCGCTCCTCAAAACTCTCTTCCGACACTTCCTGGTCATCTGCTTCAGAAGAAGCAAAAGAATGGGCTGCTGGCTCTGACTGCAAAAAACCAGCAGGGAGACATTTTAACCGCTGGGGAGCCAGGTGGGCGGCTGGGCTGGGGGCGCCCTCAGACAGTGTTCAGAGAGGCATCTCCTAGTCTCCCGTCTTCTTGACGAGATAGACCTCTCCTGGCCCAGGACCGCACCCTGAGGTGTGGGGTACCCGCTCAGCCAGAGGCCACATTTTCGGGGCCGGCTTGCGGCTGCTCCGGAACACCGCTGCTGGTGTCGTCCTCCCTGAACGGGAACTGGACCAGAGGCACTGCACAGATGTCTGCGGAAGGCCAAGAAGATGAGACACAATCTCTCATCAACATCATGGCAAAAATCATCTCGGAGCCTGTGAAACTGGCCCAGCTCCCCGCACCTCGTGACACCTGAGTTTAGTGTGGAGTGAGTTCATCCAACACGCGACCTGAGGCTTGGCTGCAGACCAGCCAGCCAGCCGTCAGGGGGCTCCAGGCCAGCTTTGCACCAGACAGCCTCGGGGTCCTCTGTGGACCAGGTCCTCCTCATCCATGTGCAATAAGAGCACCCCTAGGACTGTGTGAGGGTGTTCAGGACATGCCACTGAAGCACTTGCTAGAGGAGTCGGTGAGGGCTCATCAAGCGCTGTGGCCTAGCTGCTGTCACTATTGCTGCTAGTGCACGCGCGGGAGAAGCAGAGTCCAGAGCAGCCTGAGCATGCTGGACAAGCTCCCTGGGGACCAGAGGCACAGCGGGGGGGGGGGGTCAGAGGGAGGCACTTGCCCCCGGTGCAAGTCCAAGGGGATGCCAGATGAGGCGGAAAATGACATTCCAAGGAGCCACAGATATGAAAGGCACCTGACTGAAGCAGCCGGACAACATAGGGAATGCATTTCTGCTGACACATAGGTGCTAGCAACGTCTATTCATGTTGAAATGGGGGGTGGTTCGCAACTTAGAGATCACCCCTGGGCACTCGTTACTCTCACCATGCCCCTGCTGGGGACACATGGAGGCCGAACCCTCAGGATGAGGCGGGTCTCGCAGAAGAAGAGAGGAGAGGGTGTCCAGGGTGTCCAGGGCGGGGGGGTCTGTCTGGAGTTTTCTCGGGGACTGGGAGTGGGAATTTCCTCGGAGGGCAGGTACAGGGACGTCACCCAGGAGGACCGTAAGTTGAGCTTTGAAAAGGAGCCTAGAGCAGAGCTGGGAGGATACTCCGAGTTGGGGTAGGACAGGGGCTCTATTCGGGAAGAATTTCCAGGGCTGACTCAGTAGGATTTGGTGGACAAGTGTACAGAAGAGAGGACGAGAGGAGAGGAAGGGTTTGGGGTGACTCCAAGGCTTCTAGCTGGAGAGCTGAGTTAGCAGCACCATTGGCCAGCAGGGGAAGATCAAAGCCTGGGAGTGGGGATGGGGGACTTGCAGCCTGGGGTGGGGGCTCACAGAATCTGGGGGTGGGAGTGGGGAACTCTCAGCCTTGGGGTAGCCCCCAGCAGTCTGGGGTAGGGTAAAGGGTTCACAGTCTCAGGGTGGGATGGGGGACTCACAGGCTAGGGGTGGGGAATCTCTGCCTTGGGGCAACGGGAGCTTCAGGGCCTCTGAGCAGTGAGTTCGAAGTCTGTGTCACCGATGGGTCACCCACGGATGACAGTCACAGTCCTGGGAGGGGGCAAGGACACTCAGTGGGGATGCATTGACACTGAGCCGGGGGTGGAGGCCAAGGAGGGGCAGTGTCCCCTCTCAGAGCGCTACGAGGACAGGGCAGCACCCCGGATGAGCTGAGCTGTGTGAGCGCAGAGGGAAGCTGTGGAAGAGAGGAGGAGGAGGGGAGGGTGGCGGGCAGCTCGTCCCCAGTGAGGGTGTGGGAAGAAGCGGACACTCAGCCCTGGGGTCGCACCCCAATGTCAGCAGGTTCTAGGCCTGAGGCTGAGAGCAGACAGTGAAGACATCACATATTTGCAGCCTTGCTAACTGGTCCCCAAAGCCTCGGGTAGACACTGCCCTGGGTGCAGCTTCATACAGCGGTGGCTCTGAGGCTGCTCTGTCCCTTATGGGACCTGAGGCAGGCACCCTGGCCCCTCTAACATAGAGGATGGTGAGGCTAGCTGAGGCTGGCCTGGGGATCAGAGACCATGTGGGAGGCGCTGAGGGGCCAGCTCAAGGAGTGGCACAGCGGGATCCATGGAATCCATTGCTCTGGCCCCAGGACCGGCGCTCCAGCCAACAGTTAAGACGCTATTGCCGCAGCACCCGGGCTCCCCCAGTTAACTGTCCTCAGGACACACACCTCTGTGGGGAGGCTCCCTGTCAGCCCACACCTGGGGCTCCAGTTTTCTGAGTCAGGCAGTGGATAAGCAGACAGGAGAACAAACCGTAGTCCCCCAGCACAGCCTCAGTTCAGGCCCTCCAGCTGCTCCTCTGAGGCCCAGGCCAGCCTCAAGGTCCGGACCCTCAGCATCGCAAGCAGCTTTTCCAAATGATCACACAGGATCTGAAGGAGGATTTCTCCTCCCTCTTTTCCCTCAGACCCCTGCGCCAGCACACACACGTGTTCTGTGGGGGCAAGAGATCAGTATGCTCTTGGCTGAGCACCGGGGGCCAAAAGGCCCCAGCAGGTGGCTCCGGATTCCAGCTGCACCAAGGGACAGGGACTCCCCCAGAGGCTCTTCTGGGGATCTAGGGGGTGGCCCAAAGACCTCCTGCACCCACTCATTCCGAGCAATCACGCGACCATAGGGCTCAGTGGCACCCACCTCCTCAGGCTCCTCCTCGCGCTGGCGGCTGGGCTTGGTGTAGTCCAGCGGCCCGTCCCATTCATCCTGGCGGGAGGCCTGGCTGGACTGGGGCGAGGTCATGGAGCTGCTGGTGGTGCTGGCACTGCCCTGGCGCGGGGCCACATCAGGCGATTTCACACCAGGGCTGCTGCTGCAGCTGCTGCTGCCGGGGAGAGCACTGTCTCGCCGGCGGTGCTTGTGCATGCTCAGGTCCAGGGTCCCATTCTCGTCCACCTCAATGTCCATGGCCTGCAGCGTCAGAGAGGAGGCTGTGTTAGTGCCCCCTTTGCGCATGTGCCTTCCAGGTGCACCCTGAGTCATACCACAGGGCCCAGAGCAGACTTCCCTGAGCATACCAGCAGGAGCCAGCCAAGAACAGGGCACCCTGAGGACCAATTCCCAGAAAGTCCCATGGAGGAAACACCTCCAGCTCCCTCTCGCCTCCCAATAGCATTAGCCTGAGACCCAGTGTGACACGGTCAGACTGAGCACCTGAGCCAAGAGTGTATGTGCACAGAGCCCCCAGAGTCAGTAAGAGGCACATGGGGACACAGTGTGCACAGAGCCCCCAGACTCAGTAACAGGCGCATGGGGACACAGTGTGCACAGAGCCCCCAGACTCAGTAGGGGGTGCATGGGGACATGGTGAGTGCACAGTCATCTAGTCACACTTAGGAACAGCACACAGAGCACTCTCAGAGGGGACCCATCCACCTTCTAGATTGTTGGGGACACCGGCGAGGAGGGAGGAAGGGAGGAAGGCATAATCACCAGCCAGGCCCTGGCCCTGCCCGAGGACATTTGTGGAGGCAGCAAGTGGGCTTCCGCAAACCCCCAGCTCACCTCCCACTCAGCAGGGCCCTGCCAGCAGACCCACCTTGCCAGGGAGGTCCTGCGGCTTTGTGCTGAGGTTCTCGGGCATTTCCCAGCAGCGTGTGGAGAGGTTCAGGATGGCTGTGGCGGCCATGTGGGCAGCCTCGGCATCTTGCGAGTAGTCGAAGCCTGTGGAAGAGGATGGAGTGCTCCTCACGTAGCTGCCAGAGGGGCTGTGCCTGGGGGAGGAGGCCTTTGGGAAAGGTCTGGCTGCAAAAGGGAACACCACCAGGTGGTACGCAGCAGGCACCAGGGCAGCAAGTGCAGACGCGTCAAGACTGCAGATCGCGAGGGGCCAGGGCGCCGCAATGTGGGGCAGGTTCGGGCTCAGGAGGAAGCCTGCTTGCACGGCCCCTGCACTCCACTCCCAGCCCACCCTCCCAGCCATATTTCTGGCCGGATCACACTCTGGGGAGAAAATAAAGCCCTCCAAAGGCGTTTCAGCAGCCCTGATATTTCAGACAAAACAACTAGTCTGTGAAGGAATGCTAAGAGTCTGGAGAATTCCATATGTAGGATATAGTGTTTTGAATATCACTCAAAGAAGAAAATTTTGTAGCAACATTTCAAAAGAACGTTACCACATTTAGGCGGACTGTGATGTCCCCGGTAACGTTGTTGTTGGATTCCATCGAGCTGATTTGGACTCATAGTGACCTCGCGTGTTACAGAGTAGAACCGCCCTACAGGGTTTCCTAGGCCGTAATCTTTATGGCAGCAGATCGCCAGGTCTTTTCTCCAGCAGAGCCGCTGGTGGATTTAAACCGCCTACCTCTCGGTTAGCAGCAAAGTGCTTGGTCACTGCGCCCCAGGGCTCTTTGTCCCCAGTAACAGTTACTGTTGTAGTAAGGTAATATTATTGTTTATTTTGTGTTTCTGTATTGTCTCCTAGCACCTGCACCGCACCATGAAGTCACTCTCCCACATGGTATTTCTGAGCAGCCCCAATATCACTGGTATGTTCTGGAAGGACTAAATGTCTAAGTGTAAGGAAAGTGAACCGCGCAGTCACCTCCCACGTGCACCATTGCAGCACACCCTCAGGAAGGAGGTACGTGTGCGCTGGAGGCCCGAGGCCTGAATCTTAGTAAGTTCTGCCAAAGGAAGGGAGGAATCGTCACACTGCAACTGGCGATTGCATCAGCTGGGTATCTTTCAATAGTAGCATGTAGGAACTCATCGATGCTCAGGAATAAGTAGGGGCTGGCAGCCCCCTTGAGGAGATGCCTGTCTCCACCCAATGTACACGCTCAAGTGCTTCCAGCTCCGTCCGAACTCCAGGCCAATGGGCTTTCAGTTCACAAATTAGTGGCGTAAGTGACAAGAAAAGACAGGGAGGATTCTTCTTGAAGTTTTGCAGGGTTTGTTCTTGTCAACGCAGTTACACAGATTTGTTGCTGATACCACGACTATACGCAGCAGGAGGGTGCCCATCCAGAAAGACCTGCTGGAGCCCTCTCCCCGACTCAGGGCTGGCAGCAGACACCCCGCTTCAAGCATGAGCTCTTCGTAGAGAGAAGCCATGTTGGGATCCAACAGGGGGTGACCAGGAGGTTCTCTCACAGAGTGGACCCATCAGCCAAGTGAATGTTAAGCCTTTGGACAGACACCCACAAACACCCTGGTTTTGTTCCCCAGAACGACTGAGGAGAAGTGTAGAGGTAATGGGGAACATGGAGAGAGCAGCTCGGCGGGACTCAGGCTCCAGAGAGGCCAGTGGGGACACCCCGGGCATCTGGGCTGCTGAGACACAAGTCAGCCCCCTCCGCTAGGAGAGATCACCACTGGCTTTGCAGGGACAGACTCAGGAGGGGTGACCTCCTTGATGCCCCTTGAGTCCTGCACCTCTAGAAGCGATGCAGGAAGAGAAAAAGGATGATTCTCCCCAACTTACATTTAAAGGCTTTAGGTGAGGTTTCGCTGGTCTGAATCTTTGGGGCAAGCATGCGTTTGCCAAAAACCTGAGCATCGAAACTTGCGTAGTCGAAGGTGACCTTGGAGAACTTCTCCAGCTCCTTGGCCAGGCTGGCCCTGGGTGTGGCCGGGGCCATGCTGGGCCGGTAGCTCCCATATGGAGGGACCTCCAGCTGCTTCACGAAGCACATGGGCCTGGGGTGAAGGGACAGAGACAGAAGCTGTGAGGATGAGACCTGGGGCTTGTGCTCCCCTGCCCCCTCTGCACCCCATGCTGTGGCCTAGGCAGGACCCCTCAGGGCCTGGGAGGTTGGAGAGGTGGAGAGCCCACCACTCCACATCTCACCACTAAAGCCTTGTCAGAATCCCATTCCTGGTGAAGCCCCAGCCTCTTCAGGTGGCCCAGGGAAAAGGATGGTGGGCCAGGCTCAGACACATGTGAGGAAGGAGGAAGGTATAGGGGCCTGGAGGGAAGACCAGCCATGTCCTCGCACAGGGAGCATGGCCAGGAAGGGAGGCTGAGACTGAGAACTGCGAAGCCCTTTTCACCCAGTTCCACTAACGATTCATGTCAGCCCTTGAGAGGGCCCAGCAGGAACCTGGCCCCCCGGGGGGTCACTCAGCGCAGAACTCTAGTGGTAGGTGGGGGAGCAGCCAGTGTGATGGAGGGGAAGTTAATGGTTTCCGAGGGGCTGCTGCTCCTACTGGGCCCTTCACCTGGCTGGTATAATTAACCCTCAGCTGTCCTGTCCTCCTAAGTGGCGGAGGGGCTCCTCGGGCTGTGGGAAGCCCTGGCCCACTTTCCAGCATTGCTCGAGTGCACGTCCTTATTCCTCAGCTCTGGGGAGTTAGGTTTTGTCAGTGCACTGAGCATAGCAGGAGGCATGCAGGGGGAGAGAGAAGGGAGATCAGCGGGCCAAGGTGGAGAGCCTAGGGCTACCTGTGTAGGGGACACAGTTGACACGAGCCTCAGGGGAACCATCTGTGCTGTGGCCACAACCACGGAAGGTCAGCAGGTCCTTACCGTGAGCTGTAGTGGGCGGTAGGTTGCTGCCCCATTTAAGCCTCATGAGAAGCCTTTGCCATCGGTAACATTCTATCCATTTTACAGGCTAATAAACTGAGGTCAAAGTTTCAGGGAGTTGTGTTAAGTGCCGTCAAGTCGGTTCCGACTCATAGCGACCCCATGTGCGACAGAATGAAACACTGCTGGGTCCTGCACCATTGTCACAATCATTGTTATGCTTGAGCCCATTGTTCCAGCCACTGTGTCAATCCATCTTGTTGAGGGCCTACCTCTTTTTCACTGACCCTCTACTTTACCAAGCTTGATGTCCTTCTCCAGGCACTGATCCCTCCTGATAACATGTCTGAAGTATGTGAGATATAATCTCATCATCCTTGCTTCTAAAGAGCATTCTGGTTGTACTTCTAAGACAGATTTGTTCGTTCTTTTGGCAGTCCATGGTATATTCAATATTCTTCGCCAAGACAATTCAAAGAAGTCAACTCTTCTTTGGTTTTCCTTATTCACTGTTCAGCTTTCGCGTGCGTATGAGGTGACTGAAAACACTATGGCTTGGCTCAGGCTCACCTTAGTCTTCAAGGTGACATCTTTGCTTTTTAATACTTTAAAGAGGTCTTTTGCAGCAGATTTGCCCAGTGCAATGCATCCTTTGATTTCTTGACTGCTACTTGCATGGATGTTGATTGTGGATCCAAGTAAAATGAAATCCTTGGCAACTTCAATCTTTTCTCTGCTTATCAGGATGTTGCTTATTGGTCCAGGTGTGAGGATTTTTGTTTTCCTTATGCTGAGGTGTAATCCATACTGAAGGCTGTGGTCTTTGATCTTCATCAGTAAGTGCCTCAAGTCCTCTTTACTTTCAGCAAGAAAGGTTATGTCGTGCATAATGCAGGTTGTTAATGAATCCTCCAATCCTGATGCCACATTCTTCTTCATATATTCCAGTTTATTGGATTATTTGCTCAGCATACAGACTGAATAAGTATGGTGAAAGGGTACAACCCTGAAGCACACCTTTCCTGACTTTAAACCATGCAGTATCCCCCTGCTCTGTTCGAATGAATGCCTCTTGATCCATGTACAGGTTCCTCGTGAGCACAATTAAGTGTTCTGGAATTACCATTCTTCAAAATGTTATCCATAATTTGTTATGATCCACACAGTCAAATGCCTTTGCATAGTCAATAAAACACAGGTAGACATCTTTCTGGTATTCTCTGCTTTCAACCAGGATCCATCTGACATCAGCAGTGATATCCCTGGTTCCACATCCTCTTCTGAATCCGGCTTGAAATTCTGTCCGTTCCCTGTCAATATTACTGCTGCAGATGCTTTTGAACGATCTTCAGCAAAATTTTACTTGCATGTGATATTAATGATGTTGTTTGATAATTTCCACATTCAGTTGGATCACCTTTCTTTGGAATAGGCACAAATGTGGATCTCTTCCAGTTGGTTGGCCAGGCAGCTGTCTTCCAAATTTCTTGGTATAGACGAGAGAGCACTTGCAGCACTGCGTCCGTTTGTTGAAACTTCTCAGTTGGTATTCCATCAGTTCCCGAAGCCTTGTTTTTCACCAACGCCTTCGGTGCCGCTTGGACCTCTTTCTTCAGTATCATCAGTTCCTGATCACATGCTACCTCCTGAAATGGTTGAACATCGACCAATTCTTTTTTTAAAAAAAAAAAAATTCTTTTTTTTTAATTGTACTTTAGATGAAGGTTTACAGAACAAATAGTTTCTCGTTAAATAGTCAGTACACATATTGTTTTATGACATTGGTTAAGACCAGTTCTTTTTGGTATAATAACTCTGTGTATTCCTTCCATTTGCTTTTCATGCTTCCTGTGTCGTTTAATATTTTCCCCGTAGAATTCTTCAATAATGCAGCTTAAGGCTTGAATTTTTTCTTCAGATCTTTCAGCTTGAGAAATGCTGAGCGTGATTTTCCCTTTTGGTTTTCTAACTCCAGGACTTTGCACATTTCATTATAACACTTTACTTTGTCTTCTCGAGCCGTCCTTTGAAATCTTCTGTTCTTCTGGCATTCCATGGTATAGTCAATATTCTTCGCCAACACCATAACTCAAAGGCATCGACTCTTCTTCAGTCTTCCTTATTCATTGTCCAGCTTTCACATGCATACTAGACAACTAAAAACACCATGGCTTCGGTCAGGCGCACCTTAGTCCTTAAAGTGACATCTTCGCTCCATGACACTTTAAAGAGGTCTTTTACAGCAGATTTGCCCAATGCAACGTGTCTTTTGATTTCTTGACTGCTGCATCCATGGGTGTTGATTGTGGATACAAGTAAAATGTAATCCTTTACAACTTCAGTCTTTTCTCTGTTTACCATGGTGTTGCTTGTTGGTCCAGTTGTGCAGGGAGTAGCAGCTCTGAATTGATAGCCCAGGTCCCAAGACTCCCTGGGGGCCTGTGAGGCTTGACTAGGCCCCGCCCCTGGCTGTGCCTTGCCCCCAGGCTGCCCTACCGTTGGTTTGCCCCACCTCAGACTACCCAGTCTCCCAGTGGCCCCGTCCCCCACTGAGCCGCCTCCCTTTGTCCTCATCCCGCCCCCACCTCATCTGTTTTATTGGTACTTAGATCAAGGCGGAAAAGTACCAAATTCAGAACTGACAAAAAGCCACAAGGAGCAGCAAATAAGGCAGAGGAAATCTCCCCGGGACAGGAGAGGTGGACTGAATGCACCGGAGCTGGCCAGAGAGCTAGGGCAGCTGGCGGCATGGGGGCCAAGTTCATCTGGCTGAGATTTTGTCAGGCATGCACAAGGGTAGGGGGGCACAGGGAGGGGGGCATGGGGAAAGGGATACAGGAAAGGGGGATGGGGGAGGAGACCCAGGGGTGGGTGCCCAGGGGTGGGCAGGGGGATTGGGGGAGGAGGATGGGGGACTACAGTGAGGGGCCATGGGGGAGAGTGACGGGGAAGGGGTAGGGGCCACAGGGGAGGGGGTTCGTCGGAGGGGGCTCAGGAGTGGGTGCCCAGGGGTCAGGATAGGGGGCTGGGGACCATGGAGAGGGGCCATGGGGAAGGACCACAGGGAAGGGGGTGTGGGGAAGGTCTCTGCCCTGTGCTCACCCAGCCATTGAGCCTGGCCTCTCACTATCATTTGGGGAGACGGACATCAAACACTTCTCCTGCAGAGAAATAGGGAGGAGTCCACCTGAGTGAGGATGGACCCTGGATGAAGCATGGTAATTGAGAACAGAACTTGGGTCAGCCCAGCTCCTCCAATGACCTTGTGGACTTGGGCATGTCTTATGTCCCTGGCCCTGGTTTCCTCTCCAGTACACAGGGATGGCATGAGTTAGCACATGCTCAGGCTCAGTTGCCCCGGTGGCTGCCATCTCCTATTTCGTGGAGGAGGCCGGTGGAGCTGGGACATTGAGGGAGGGAACGGCTTCCATTTTGTGGCTTGCTTCACTCACCTGAGGATCCGATTGGAACTGGAGCTCATCTTGGAAGGGTCTCCCGTCTGCGGCTGTTGCTTCTCGTGAGATTTGGCTAACTTTTCGGCAGCAGCAATGGGACACCCAGACAAACTACAGAAAGGACAAGGAGGAGCATCTGAGCCTTCAGCATCATTCAGGCAACGGGGGGGCTCACAGCAAAGTGGGGGACAGATGCCTGCAGGAGCCCAGGGGGTGGCGTGTGGAGTCCTGCCCATGTCATAGAGCTATGTGTGTTTTTAGAAGTAGCTTCCTTCTTGGAACACACGAGGTACCCAGTGAAAGTAGTTTTCTTCTCAGGCTTCTGGGTTTGGGGTTCAAAGCACCAGCTGCTTGCTCGTTCTCTGTTTTAGGAAAGTCTGAGCCAAAGACACACACAACGAGGAAACAGACGCGAGGCCCAAAGGCTCCAAGCAAGGCACCCCTCTGGACACCTGCGTGGACAGGTCCTGTCTCTCTTCACCACCACCCCTCACCCCAGGGATGAGTCCTGCAGCCACCACTGAAACTGCCTCCCCTTGGCTCTGGTCCTGTTAGCTGGCTGGGGCTAGCACAGGAGGCTGGCCAGAGACCTGGGCTCTGACCCTGGAGGGCACAGGCTCTTGGGTACCCCCCAGCCCACTGCTCGGAGCAAGCAGGAAGGGACAGCATCCTTCTCAGGAAAGAGCCAGACCGAAGACCTCAAGCAGGGTTGCTTCTGCTGGGAGCGAGAGGACTGAGCTTGGGGTCAGCATCTCACCTGGCTTGCAGGTGATGAGGCTATTGCAGCCCCTCTCTCCCAGGTGTCCCTTCAGCTGAGCGCATGCCTAGTGGAGGCAAAGGCAGGGGCCCCGCCCTCTGCAGACTGAACATCTCATCACGGCCACGGCCACCATGGCGCTGGGAGTGGCTGAGGGGAGGGCCACTCTGGCAGTGGAGATGGGCATACAGCACACGACAAGCACCAGGGTGCGGCGAGAGGCGCAGCACTCCACGCCAGCAACCATAACTCAAACTGGCCCACCAAGCCTCCTGCCAGCTCCCACCCTCTCCTTCCCCAAAGAGTAAGAGCTGGTCTACAGATGTTTTCCAAGTATCACAGTATTCTCCACTGGCGCTCCACGAGGGCCTCAGACCCTTCCTCACTCCCCTCGAGCCCATCCTCTGCTCTCTTGGGACCCTTGGTTCCCAGGGGTGCACGCAGCAGGCCCGGGCCCACCCCCACCACGCCCTGGCTCTGCCAAATACCTTCTGTGGGTGTTGCGGTTGCTGTTCACGTGACCCTGCCCCGTGCAGCCAGGAGTGGGGCACTTCAGCACGTTCTCATGCATGGCCAGGACTGTAAGAGCGGAGGGGAGCAGTGAACATTGCCACGCAGGGAGCCCGGCTGAAGGGAGAGACCGCAACTCTGCCGGGGTGGCCCCCGCCCCCGGGCAAGCCTGGTGAAGACCCCCCGCCCCCGTCATTTTGACTCCACCTCCTGCCTCCCTGAGGCAGAAACCAGACAGCCCCAGAAGCTGGTTGTTCTGTATCCCCACCCTCTAATCTAATTCTCGGAAGTGCTGCTTCTGGCCTAAACTTAAGGACAGGCATTCGCCTTGTGAATCTTCCGGAGCGCAGAGGTCACCGTGTCTCTGTACAGACCCTGTGCTTCTTCCTCTCCCGCCTCTGCTGACCTCAGCCTGTCCCCTCCATCATCCATTCCCACAAAACACCAGCCATTCTGTTTCTGTGGGGGTCTCTGGGGAGCTTCGACTAAGCTGGCGACTACAGGTCCCCAGCCTTATAGGGCTCAAGTTGGGGCCAGGTGGTTTGGGTTAGGTGAGTGTCTGGACAGTGCCGGGCCAAGGGCAGGACACAAGGCTGGCCCCTTGCCACATGAGCACCACCTGAGCCCCCAGGAGACGGCCGCACCCCGTGGTTTGAGCAAATGCTGGCAGAGCCACTCACTCTCCGGGGGGATCCTATCTTTATGGGGGCAGCCGGACAGGCTGCGGTGGTGTGGGTACAAGCCAGTGACGTGGCCCGTGCCATCACAGCCTGGAGTCGGACACTTGATCTCACGCTTTTCGGCTCTCGAAGGGTCTGAAACGCACAAGAAGCAACAGTGAGCGGACGGCCAGGCCAGGGGCGGGGAGGGCATCGCAAGGTGGGGGGTGCACAGTCCCTCACTCTGGCTGTGAGGTGTGCAGACCGCCAGAGGTCTGAGGGACCAGAGGCTGGGCAGTGAGGGGACCCTAGAGAATCAGTTCCAAGCTGGCCATCTGCACAGAAAGGGGAAGCCCAGACACTCCCAGACCTAAGTCCCCTCCTTGCACGTCCGCTGCCGAGGTCAGTGGTGTCTGTTGGTTGCAGTGAGTCAGCCAGCCCACAAAAGCCCCCCCAGCCTTATCCCACCTGGGCCAGCCAGCCCTCTGCAGAGGTGGAGGTGTGGAGGAGGTCCTGCCAGGAGACATTCTAGGATCTTAACTTGAGGCTGTGTGACTCGTAATGGCAGGAGTTTAAATCCAAATGTCAGCTACTGAACTCACTCACTCCTTCACCCCGCCATGTGCCCCACCCACCACTAACTGCTTCTGGGGCTCCCCCTGCCCCGTCCCTCTGTCACCCTGAGGGCTTGTTCCCCAAGTCTGTCCCGCTGGGTCTGTGCCTTCAAAATCTATCCCTGAAAGCAGGACACCCTGCATCTGCACCCCCCAGTGTCCTCCCACAGCCCTGTGTCACCTAGTTCTGAGCCCCGAAATATCTCTCCCTGGGGCTGTCAGTCCATATCTGTGCCCTCCCATCAGTGCCTTTCCCCAACCATGTCCCCCTGATGTCTGCCCTGATCTGTGGGCTTCTCCATGCCCCATATGACATCCCCAGGCTGGTACCTCACAACAGGCCCCCCAAAAACCTGTCACTGAGTCTGCCTCACCCTGAACTGGCATCCCCTCAATATCTGTCCTTTCAGGCCCATCTCACCCGGAATCCTGTCCCCGTCTGTGTCCCCTCAGTATCCGTCCTTCCAGGCCCATCTCACCCAGAATCCTGTCCCCATCTTTGTCCCCTCAATATCTGCCCCCCGGAATCTGTCAAGTCCTGAAACAGTGTCCCTTTGACAGCTGTCTTCTATGTCCATCTCCCCTGAATCCTATCCCCAATCTGTGTCCCCTCAATATCTATCCCCTGAGCCAGTCTCATCTGCATAGGTGTTCCCAGAAAATCTGTCCCCTGAATCTCTGCCTACCTCCCACCCATGGTGCCCCCGAGCTCTGTCTTACTTATGTCTGTGTCTCTCCCAGTAACTCAGGTGTGTGCTCCCAGGATCCACCCCCCTGTCTGTCTCCCACAGCCTTGGTCCTGGCTCTGGCGTGAGTTGCCCCCACACTAGGCTCTTGGTTCTCCCTCTTCATCTGCTCTCCCCTGGCCTCAGCCCACATGTCTTGGTGGGGTCAGTGGCAGAGGAGTGCGGGGACCCCACTGTCCACTTCCACCTAGAGGCCAGCCTGTTGCAGAGGCGTGGGGGCGGGGGGGTAGGCAGCTGAGGCATGTGTCTCCCTGGACCTTGGAGAAGAGAGACCACCCCAGGGGAAGGTATGAGGGGTGAGCGTGGGCCCTACCTTTGCTGTAGTAGTTCTTCCGCACAGCATCCAGGGGCTTCCCAGCCTGCCCCTCACCTGGGCCCTGCTCGGCTGACCCCCGGGCCACGCGCACCTGCTCGGCCTTCAGGGCGATAGCTTGCTCCAGGAGGCCCAGGTTCCCGCGGGTCATCATGTCGTACATCTCCGACTCATCCGTGACAGCCGACTTCTGGGAGCGTGCATCCTCGTCTTTATCATCATCGGAGCGTACCTCCACAATGACTGAGTACTCGGGCTCGGGGCGCGGGGGCTCAGGGTGCGGGGGCTCAGGGGCCTTCTGAGTGGAGGCGTTGGGGGCATCCTGGCAGATCACATCAGGAGTGGCCTCTTCCTCCTCCTCCTCCTCCTCCTCCTCCTCTTCCTCCTCCTCTTCCTCCTCCTCCTCTTCTTCATCTTCCTCCTCGTCCTCCTCCTCATCTTCCTCAGGATCCAGGGCATCTTTCTGCCTGCTGGACTCCTCACTGACCATGCCTTCCAAGGACTCGGGGCCCAGCTCCCGAGGCTGCTCGCCGGTGGCCTCCACGACCTCCTCGGCATCCTCGGGCTGGATGAAGACATCTTTCTCACCCTCATCGCTGGTGGCCCCCTCCCCAGCCTCCTCCTGGACCAGGTGCACAACGCTGGGGCCCGGCTTGGTTCCCTGGCCCAAGTCCTCTGCAGCCAGGGTGTCCTCAGCAATTTGGCCCAGGTTGAGGAGAGACGTGGCAATGATTTCCTGGTAGCTGCTGTAGCTGCCCTTGGACGGGCCGGTGGGGCTGGCTCCAAAGTGCGACGTGGCTGGGCTCCTTCCTGCAGAGTCAGGGCCAGGAATGTGGGTGGCAGGGCACGTGAGGGTCCCCAGTCCCCCAGGTCCGCAGTCCCCACCGCCCCTCCTGTGACACCGAAGCCTGGGGAACGTGGGACTCCCAGGACTAGGCTCCGTGTGGTCATCGCCCTCAGCCTCTGCCTGGACCCAGAGGTCGTGAAGGCACATTTTTAAAGCTGAGAATTACTTCGGTATTTTTGATTCAGGCTCCTCTCCCATTCCAAGCACTTTCTCAAGTCAGGTACACTTCCGTTTTATATAGTGGAGCTACTCCCCCAAGGAAGGTGCAAATCAGATTTCACAAAATTGTTCCATAGTTGAAAAGCAATAAGGATCTCTCTAATTTTAAAGGATCCAAATTTAAGCACTGGGTGTCTGTGCGTCTCTGTGTGTGTTGACAGCCCCAGACAAGGGCCTAGGGCCAGTCATGGAGGACACCTCACACAGGAGCCCCCTCCACTAAGAGCTCGGGGCCATTTGGCAGGTATGCCCTGCGCAAGGGCCCCTTCCACCAGGAGCCAGGGAGGGTAGGCCAGCCTGGGGGACACATTCCCTTCCCCAGGGCCAGGGCGCCCTCAAACCAGCATTGCCAAAGGCTAGGTACCCCCAACACGGCCAATCCTCAGGGACCCACAGGGAAGGGGTGCACGCAGGGAGCCCACTTCAGCTTCTCTCCTTCCCCTCCCAGCTCCCCTGGTGCCTCCACCTTCAGAGGACCCCACAAGGCATCAACCAAGCACTCAGCATCTGCCCTGTGAGCCCCTCAGGGCCAAGCAGACACCTGACCTGCCCCAGGCTCACAGAGGACCAAGCTTCCAGGGGTCTCCAGCCCCAGACCTGGACTCTCTGGGCCACACCTGTGCACAGACAGATACACACAGACACATGGACGTGCACATGGAGATACACAGACACAGACACACAGACACACACACAGACATGTGCACAGAGACACGCAGACATGTACGCAGAGACACACAGACACACACAGACATAAACAGAGACACGCAGATACACACAGACATAAACAGAGACACACAGACACACAGACAGACATAAACAGAGACACACAGACACACACAGACATGTACACAGAGACACACAGACATAAACAGAGACACACAGACACACAGACAGGTACACAGAGACATACAGACACACATACAGACATGTACACAGAGACACACAGACACACACACAGGTGCGGGGCACACACCCTGGGCAGCCCCTCTCCCAGGAAACCCACCGTGTCCAAACAAGCACCCCTTGTTCTCGGGGACTCTCACTCGCCACACACGCCCTCCCCTCTCACGGCGCTCCGCAGGCTACACTGAGCACCCTTTATTCCGGGAGGAAGAGCACAAAGCACCTTCAGCTGGCTCGGGGTGCTGCGTCCCCTCCTGCCCGGACATCTTAGCCTCGTCCCCCTCCAGAGTTCCTTCCGACTCGTCTGAGACAGAGGCGTCCTTCACCTCGGCGTCCTCGCTGCTGTCGCTGTCCATGCCGTAGCCCTCGTCCAGAGCCAGCTTCAGGGGCTGAGGCTTCCGCTTGGCCGCCAGGTGCTCGGCCTCAGCGCCCCCCAGCCTACGCTTCTTGGCCAGGGGGCAGCTCTGCAGGCTGAGAGGAGGGTGAGGGCGGGCTTGAGCCTCTCACTGCCCTTCTCTCTCCAGGCCCACACTGTCTGGAAGGCTCCCCTTGGTCTCGCCTCCGTTCCTCCACTACCTCCCAGCCAGACAGCACTGAGTGTCCACCACCTTACATCTCCCGCCTGCACTGTTCTCTAACCTGTGTTACCACAGTGTCCACTCAGGGTGCAGAGTCACTGCTCTTGGAGGGTCCCACAGGCCCCACCCAGCCCATCAAACCCCAAAGCACCAAGGGGCCCCCTTTCTCCACCTCCAGGCCCTGATGCCCATGCCCACCTGAGCCTGACCCTGCACTGAGGGCACCTGAGGTCAAGCCAAAATGACAACATAACAACTGCTGCCATAGCTCACACGCCCCCAGCCAACATGCACCCCAAACGTGCGCCCCCAACATGCACCCCAACATGCGCCCCCCCAGTGTGTGCCCCCAGCAGGGGCCAGGTGGCTGTGAGCCCCTCCCACCATGCCTCATCCACACCCTGGAAGGCTGAAGGAAGGGCCCCCACAGGCACCTCGTCCCCCCAGTTGGCCCAGGCCTGACCCATAGCCAAGGGCCCAGAGCAGCCGCATGGGGCCACGTCCCTCCAAGCCTCCTCCCAGAGCCTCACCTCCGGTGCCTGGAGTATTTTCCCCGGACGTGTCCGGAGCCTGTGCAGCCCGGGGTGGGGCAGCTGCAGGAAACAAAAAGGGAGTCACTTGGGTGTGGTCGCTGAGGGGAGAGCCAAGTAGGGCCACCCCAACGCTCGGCTGGGAGGCAGAGAACTGGAGAGCCACTGTCTTCGTGTGCTAAAAATGAACAAACTAGCCCGTTTAGATGGGCAAGCGCCCATCACAGTTTTACAAGTATGTTTAACTAAAGATCTGTGTATAAGGCCATGTCCCGAGGCCTCACCGTGCCCTTCCCTCCCAGGACTAGCCTTTCCACCACCCGGGCACTTTATGACCAGGGCGTGGGGAGATGAACAAGGCGACCAGCTGCAACACCCCCTTCACAGAGGTCGCAGCTCCCCACCACCACCGTCACTGCTGCAGCACCAATAGGCCCTTCACCTGGACAAACAGCTTGGGTAGATGTGCATGGCTGGCCAGGGCTCCAGGCCCCACTGGACGAGGTGCAGGGTGGCAGATGACAGAGAGGGAAGGAGACTTGGGGAGACCCTCACCCTTCACCTCACCGGTTCCCAATGGAATCGGCCCAGTGAGGGGTCCAGGTACTCTGGTCCAGGCCCTGACCACGTGGCAAGACTGCACCCAGAGTCACTGCGAGGGCATGCATGAGGAGAGTCCAGGTGCAAGGTGCTGCAACGGGTCTGCCATTGCCTGGTGGGCCATGCATGGGGCTAGCCAGCTCAGGTAGTGAGGACCCTGCCACAGACCTCTAGGCTTTGACGGGGAGGGAGGCGCTAGGCCAATCTGTTATAACAAGACTGACATCATGGTCTGGGCCCCTGCCAGGTCAGGCCATCCTAAAACCCACAGCAATGGAGAAGGGATGAGGGCACATCTTCCCACGTGCCAAGGGGAGAGGGGTGTGGAGCCAGAACCTCCCGCCTTGTTCACATGCCTTGACTGCCGATGACTGCCCTGCCAGCCACATGCTGACTGACTGAGACACAGCCAGTCCCACCAACCCCCCAAGCTCCACCACAGTCACTGGGGGGTGTGCAGGGGAAAGGGGATCTTATGGTGACCAAGGGCTAACCCTTGGGGTGGGGCCACAGCGGTGATCCTAGAGCTGCATTCTTCGGGTTAAAAAGACAGAAGGGGACTTCCGGGCAACACGGCACTATAGTCAGAAGCACCATGCCATCCCTCTACAGCAAAGATCCAAAAAACTAAGTCAAACAGAGTCACACGGCAATCCTGAAACCCTAAGAAGCAAATGAAGAGATAAAGAACTCAGCCAAGCACCGAATGGAATAAGAAACTGACAGAGAATGGATCTGCCATCTTGGAATCCTATCGGAGATCAGCGAACAGGAGATACGAGAAAGCAGTGTCACAGAACTTCCAGCAGGAGACAGAACAACCAGTAACCAGTGATATATGCTCCCTGCCCACCCTTCTTCACCCCCACTCGGCCTCCTCTGCTTCCCATGGCCACAGTCTTAGCCAGGAAGCACCGGCTTCACCCTGGTGTTGCTTGGATTCCACCTGCCCATACTGGCCGGCTCCCTGAGCACCATTCGTTGGCTACTGGTGTTGCTTTTTTCCACTTCTTTAGATTTCTTCCCTACCTCTCACCACCTCCCCCTCCTTTCTCTCAAATACCTGGCTCCATGTGCCATCTTTGCTCCTTCCTGAAAGGCTGTGAAACACTGCTCAGCTGTGAAACTGCTTCCCGGCCCGTGCCACCACCCTGGTGGGCCCCCCCCCACCCCGGGCTTTTTGTTTGTCTGCTCTGATTTGTTCTGTTTTATTTGTTTGTTTGTTTTATTTTTCTTTTCTCAGCTTGGGAGCCCCTTCTAGCCAGGCAGTACCGCGCGGCTTGGAAGCTACTCCTTTACTCAGCACAGACACATAGGGACATCACTGGGGGCATTTTTTTCTTGTTTTTTGGGTTTTTTTGTTTGTTTGTTTGTTTGTTTTGTTTTGTTTTTTTCTCTCTCTTATCCTCTTTTTGTCTTTCTTCATTTCCAGTTTCTCAATTTATTCATTTTTTTCTTTTACTTTTTCTTTTTTTTATTTGTGTTCTTCTCCATTTATCAGTCTTTCATCTCTCCACTCCAATAGCAAGCTCCCTTAGCACTCTTTTTTGTTTGTATGTATGTTTTTGGCCCCTGTTCCTCTCTTCTCTCTCTCATCTTTCCCGTACCCATCTTAGCTCCACACATCACAGTCTTTCCCCTCCTTCCTGCCTTCCTGCAGATCACACTCCCAAGCAGCACAGGCACAGCCTACCAGAAACTGCCCTGCACTGAATCCCAGACTGCATTGTCATCCCTAGTATGTGCCACAAACAACCCATCCCAGCAACTCCCCTTCAGCTAGACCTGCCCTGCTGACCATACCTGAGTGACTGACCCTACCCATTGGAGAAGGAAGTGAAAAGTATCATGCACACAGATAAACAAACAACGAAGAACACATATCCCGCCTGCTCAGACATAACCAAATAAAACAAAAAAGCAGTACCAAACAAACAAATCTACAATCAATAAAATAACCACTGAATGCCCCGAAGACAGCAGACAATACCAAAACACACAAAAACAGAACAGGATGGTTCCAGTAGGCATCCAAAATAAAACACCAGATGACTTTCCAGTAGAAGAAAAGGCACTAAAACTAACTTATAGGGAATTCAAATCTCTAATATTCAGAATTATCCAAGAATTGAAGCAAAAAGCAGACAAAAATGAGGAAAAAATAGACAAATTCATAGAAAAGGCAGACAAATTCATGGAAAATACAGACGAAAAAATGGAAGAATTCAAGAAAATAATACAGGAACAAAATGCAAAAATAAATTCACAACGAGAGATCATACAAAAACAATTAGAAATCCGAAAGATAAACAACAAGATTTCAGAAATGGACAGTGTCATAGAAGGGCTGAGGAGCAGGTTTGAAACGATGGAAGATAAGATCAGTGAAATTGAATACAAAGACTTGGATACAACTCTATTTGAGGAAAAATCAGAAAAAAGAACAAAGAAAAATGAAGAGCCCCTGAGAATTATGTGGGATACAATCAAATGCAAAAATATGTGAGTAATTGGAGTTCCAGAACAGGGGAAGAAAACAGAAAACACAGAGAGGATCATTGAAGAATTGCTGACAGAAAACTTCCCTAATATCATGAAGGACAAAAAGCTGACCATCCAAGAAGCTCAACAAACCCCATATAGGATAGACCCCAAAAGAAAATCACCAAGGTATATCATAATCACGCTAGCTAAAACCAAAGACAAACAAAGAATCCTGAGATCAGCTCAAGAAAAATAAAAAGTCACATACAGAGGAGCAACAATAAGACTAAGCTCGGATTATTTGGCAGAAACCATGCAGGCAAGAAGGCAATGGGCTGACATATACAAAATCTTGAGAGAAAAAAGTTGCCAGCCAAGAATAATATATCCTGCAAAACTTTCGTTCAGATATAATGGTGAAATTAGGTCATTTCCAGAGAAACAGAAATTAAAGGACTATGTAAAAACCAAACCAAACTTACAAGACTTATTAAAGGGAGTCCTTCAATCTGAGAACAAACAACATCAGACCACAGGCTGAATATAGGACACAGGATTGTACTAGCCAGATACCAACCTAGGAAATGAACTCTTAAGGACTACCCAAAACCAAAAGAATTACAACAGGGAACCAGAGAAGTTAGTCTGTAAATGACAACACCATCAGAACAATAAAAGAGGGAATAAACAATGTAGGGACAGAACCTTCTAATGGAGAGGAAGGCAGGGCAATACCAACTAAAAATACACTGGTTCAAACCTAGGAAGATAAGGGTGAATTTCAAGGTAACCACAAAAAAAAGTTAACAAACCTATTCATCAAAATAAAGAAGAAAAACGTAATGTCTCAATAAAAACAAAACCTACAAAAAAAAAGAAATGAAAAAAATTCACAAACAAAAGGAACTCAACACAGGAGAGTAAGAGGAACACGGAAAAGGTCAGCACCACAAAAAAAAAAAGCACTACAAAATGACAGCAATAAACTCACACCTATCAATAATTGCACTAAATGTAAACGGCCTAAATGCACCCATAAAGAGATGGAGAGTGACAAAATGGATTAAAAAAAAAAGAAAACAGGATCCATTGATATGCTGTCTACAAGAGACACACCTTAGAAACAAGGAAGTAAATTTATTAAAAATCAAAGGATGGAAAAAATATATCAAGCAAACAGCTACCAAAAAAGAGCAGGAGTGGCAATGTTAATCTCAGATAAAATAGACTTTAAAACAAAGTCCACCATAAAAGACAAAGAACGACACTATATAATGATTAAGGGGACTATCCATCATGAAGATAAAACCATAATAAACATCTACAGACCCAATGACGGGGCTCCAAAATACATCAAACAAACTCTAACGGCACTGAAAAGAGAAATTAACAGTTCCGCAATAATTGTAGGAGAGTTCAACACATCACTCTCGGTAAAGGACAGAACATCTAGAAAGAAACTCAACAAAGATACAGAAGACCTAAAGGGCACAATCAGCCAACTTGACCTCATAGACATATATAGAACAC